TGTCTGACTGCAAGGAAAGCCTTGCAGTCAGACAGCTACACCGTTTATGTTTCTGACAGGGAACTGAAGCCTTTATCTAAATCAGGTTACTGGACTGAGGAGGTAGAGCGGCCTGCACTATGTGGTTTGATCCCTGGCTCCTGTAGCCTACACGTTAAGTGTACTTGGCCAAGATACTTAAACATACATTGCTTGTGAGTTTGATAGATTGCTGGCTTGTCTTTTACTGTTCTAATGAAAATCTATTATCTCGCCCAAAGCGACCAGACTCCATTCAAAAAACCTGAAATTGAACTTACAGAAAACAGGAATAGCCTGTCTATGGCTGCTCTGATTGGGTTGTGGTTTGACTTTGATCATTCCGAACAGGAAATAGAAAATATATGTATGTATTTTTTGATCTGCCTTTCTTTTGGGTGGCTGAAATAACTTCTGTCTCTTCCTCCAGATTTGTGTTCTGCCAACGGCCTTCTACAATAGGCAATACACTGATTGTGGAAAAGTTCTGCATAAAACATAACTGCAAAACATCCAAACCCTCTCTCTAAAGCTCTAACAGGATATATAATCTCTGTCTCTTACTCACTGACTACAGTCAGCTTGATGCTGTTGCCGACTGCTGTGCTTCCTCCTGTTGTCGCCCTGCAGCGGTACGACCCCTCTAATGCTACAGTAACCTTCAGGTAGAATGATGCAGGTTGTTCCCCTTTGAGATCAGCGACGGTGGCCATCAGGACTCCATCACCCCCCATCAGCTCGTATGTGACTGGCAGAGAGGAATTAGGTGCAATGCAGCGTAAAGCCACACTGGAGCCGAGGTAGGCCATGACTGGACCAGTCAGGACTGGGCGAATAGAGATCGACCCTCCTGAAGAAACATGATAAAACAGGTAGTGTGGTTGAAAAGTACCCATTACAAGTTTTAAAGAGATTTTGAGTAGTTAAAGGCAGCACATTATTTGAATTAGCTATAAGATTAAAGAATAACATCAGAGAAGTCCTAAAGCACAAAATATTGTCCAGCTGAGCTCCACATCTGAAGGACGACTATACAAACTTACCTAACCTGATGAAGAAACTGGCCAGAGCTGAAATCAAAAAACACATTACAGTAAGAATATTAATCCACTAAAATACAAATATATAAAACTATTTACAATAAATTAGACTAACTCACCCAAAATTGGCAGTAAATTAGGAGTTTGTACTCTCTTCATAACAGTGCTCCGCATTTATCTTTGACATATGTTCAGTCTGTGTGTGCGCGGTGTGTGTAAAAGCTAGGGGTGTTACACATGTGTTGGAAGTAGATAACATAATAGGCTGCATTTTTGGCTCATTTTACAGAACAAATTAAGCAACAACAAAAATAAGCATAAACCAAAAATGTTTAATTATCGAGATATTTGAAAAACATTCACAGGTCATTGAATTCAGGTAAAGAAACATTTTGAAAAACAACTTAATACTTTGAACATCATATAAATGATGATATAATAACATTCGTTTGCATGAATTCTGAATTTACTGTAATAATGAAAGTTGAAAAAAAATGTAACACTGTTACAAAAGGACGATAAAAAAAAGAGTTCAATCCCTTTAAACAATCCCTTTAAACATAAGGTTAAAATAAAAACTTTGCAAAAAGAGGCTACAACCACAACCTTATCTTCATATCATGTAACTGGAACAGTGAGTTCCAGTTTCACTTTTTTTTTCAGCCACTTGACTTTTTCAGCCACAGACTTGAATTAGTTTTCATGCGATGGAGTCAGTGATTGGTTCTCTTCAATGGTAGCAGGACGCACTCTGCAGGGGTTTCTCTGACGTCTGAGCATTGTGGTATGCTGTTTCACCAGGAAGCGCTTATCAGAGCTGCTCTGTGGGGGGGAAGACACAAGTCTATTGACACAACAACACTCTGATACACTAACCATATAAACCAGGGGTGTCAAACTCCGGCCCGCTACTTCATTGTATGTGGCCCACAAGAGCTTGCAAAGAATATAATAAGTTTATTATAAGGTTACGCGCCGCTTTACAGGAGCACGTTGCCCATAAACTACATGTCCCACAATGCATCTAATTTTGTGAGATGTGCACTGAAGACTTGCCATACTTGCAATTATTTGCCCTAGACTACTGCTTTCAGACGTAGTGATAGTTAATTATGAAGTTATTACCCTATCCGATAATAATGCAATGCAGAGGAAATATTGTTAAACAATATTTCCTCTGCATTGCATTATTATCGGATAGGGTAATAACTTCATAATTAACTATCACTACGTCTGAAAGCAGTAGTCTAGGGCAAATAATTGNTCGAGCCCCATTTGAACCCCTGGAAGAAGCTGACATGAAGCACCTGTCACTCAAGACAGTGCTGTTACTGGCCCTGGCATCCGCCAAGCGAGTCAGTGACATTCATGCAAGATCACCAGCCAATCAGGATTGGCGTAATGAGATTGATGCTTCTGTTTGCTCCGCGATGAGGCGCATCCCATAGTGAGACATCTCACTTCATGTTACTCTGAGAACTGGGGTTACGTAAGTAACCTATAGTTTTCTAATGTTTAGAGTTGGCTGTGCAATCACTTTAGTAGTTTAACCATTATAAAATGTTTTAAGTAAACTTGACTTTTTTCACTTACTTTGACAGTGCATGGGGCAAAATCACTAGAAAAGTTTCAATTTGATTTGTGTGGACAAAAAAATGGGTGAAAATTAATTAAGGTTGATTTGCTTCTGTTAAAAATGCTGGTAATAAATTGATAAGAAACAATACATCAATGACGATTTTTAGAGGATTTAATGGATAATTTAAGCAGCGTAGAAATCAATTACATCGATTTATTATGGCTATATGTCAACGCAGTCTATTTACTCATATCAAGTTCTGTAAGAGATTTTCTCCTCTCTATAAAGTGAAGGATGATAAATGCGTTTCCTATCTCCATTCTGAAACTGTTATTAGCGCCACACAGCTAATCAATGCAAATGTATAGATTGAATTACCATTGTATTTATAACTAGCCATCCCCACCCCCTTCAGATACCACACGCTGATTTATCATTACATTTAAATATAGACAGAAGTAATCAGCTATGCTGTGCAATCCTGCATTCACATTACAATGAACAAGATCTCCGGCACTGAAGCTGGTTCACGTTGTTTAGGTGAAGGAGAACAGAAGAAGGAGATAGATGTGTTGGAAAAGCAGATTCAGCTCCGGGAGGAAAGATGTGTGTCATGTTTTTCCCACTACAGGTTTCCACCACTGCCATTTTCTAAGTTATTAATAGCTGTAGAGACTCGCACACTAATATACCCACAAAGCTGCAATAGAAGAACAGGTGGGCCATTACAGCTGCTAATGTGGGCTCTACAGAACCATATCCAGCGCTTTGCTGATGAGATGGAAACAGAAAAAGTCTGTCAGCTAGAAAACTGTGAGACAAGGAAAGAGAGAGAAAAGCTGAGACCATCAACCAAGTCAGAACACAGATGTGTCGTCCACACTCAGGGCTGCAAGAACAAACAACTGCTGGAGAGTGAAGGCTTTCATTTGGTGCGGGATTAATGTACTTGCAAAGCTGATGCAGCGATAACTCAGCGGTTTAAACTGCTGTGTTTCCCTACTTCCTTACCTGCTTGTTCTCGTATATCTAACACTTATCATTTCCTTCCCATATGTAAAATTGTTAAATAAATCCTTGTAAATTCTGTGTATTCTCATAAATAATGACTCCTATTAGTCAGTATGTGTGGATGCATTTGGAAGCAGACTATGGTTTACATTCAAATGAACAAACCTAACATTATCCATAATGGAAATGTAACCCAACCTATACCTAAACAGAAATAGGGGTGCTCCTGAAAAAGTTGGTTTTCATATAAAAACTAAAGAAAAATGGTATTCACATTAACAATTCTGAACAGGGATCATTATGAACTTTTCAAAATAATTATTTGAGTGATATGACAACTTCATCAGCCGTAGGCAGCAAGACAGATGTCAGGGTTTGCGTTGTGGTTTCTCAGTGTCCTTCAGTGTCTTTTTACCTCCACCTAATCTGAGAATATCTCCTGTCCGACTAAACACATCTGTTTAAATTAAATTAAAACAATTTTACGGCAGCTATACTGTCAAAGCATTTTTACTCTAACTGTGTTGAGCATAGTCTTTTATCTTTTCTTGTGTTGCTAGTGGGTATAAACAATGTCACACTGCTCAGCACCCTTCAGTCCAAACAAATCGTCAGCTGACAAATACAATTTCCCTAGAGGGCAGCTGTCTCTGTATTATGGTGGCCCTGAAGTGCAAGACACCACAGCATTTGAGAAAAAAACACAGCATTTCAGAAAACGCTACAGCATTTCAGAAAACACTACAGCATTTCACAAAACACCAAAGCATTTCAGAAAACGCCACAGCATTTCAGAAAACGTCACAGCATTTCAGAAAACGCTACAGCATTTCAGAAAACGTCACAACATTTCAGAAAACACCACAGCATTTCACAAAACACCACAGCATTTCAGAATGTCACATTGGACGGAAAGGGTATTCCTTGATTGGACAGAGCCAGCGAAGCACTGCTGGGATTGGTTGTTTTTGCTGCCAGTCAAGAAATGGGGCTTTGTGATTGGTCAACGCCCGACAGCGCAATATGTCCCAACCAACACATCAGCCGTTTGCACACACTAGCTCACAGCTCTTCATATCTATTCAGAAACTGGACAAAAGTTAAACATGTACAAAACACAGACTGTTTGTGTCATGGCGAATACAGTCGCTGCTTTATTTATGTCTGTATGACGTTGTTGTGAGTGTGGACGGAGCAGCTACAGGTTAGTTTAGCATGATGGATCCGATTCCATTCAGAAAACACGCATTTTAAAAGCTTTTCGCCTGCTGTCTTGTCTGCAGGCGATGAGGAGACATGAGGAGCTGTGAGCTCTGAGTGTGTGCTAACAGCTAATGGCTGATGTGTTGGGCCAATCACGAAGCGTCATTTATTGACTGGCAGTAAAAACAATCAATCACAGCAGTGCTTCTCTGGCTGGCTCCGTCCAATCACAAACAAGAAGTGTTCTCCCTAAGGAATACCCTTTCCGTCCAATGTGAAATGCTGTGGTGTTTTGTGAAATGCTGTGGTGTTTTGTGGTGTTTTGTGAAATGCTGTAGTGTTTTCTGAAATGCTGTAGTGTTTTGTGAAATGCTGTTGTGTTTTGTGAAATGCTGTGGTGTCTTGCACTTCAGGGCCACCGTAGTCATTAGAGTCATCATTATTGAAATAAAACTGTTCACAACTTGCTAAAAACTCCTCGTAGTATCTTTAAAGAAAGTGTCTGTTATACTTAATAGGACGACGGTTGGCTACAAGCACACCTGGATGCTCGGGAAGCGTTACAGTATGAACGTGAGCTACAAGATATTTTGTGGATGGGATTTCACGATCCAGAACCCTGAGGCTGCCGCTCTCAAACGCAGCTTCATAAAAAACGATCTCAAGGTTAGTAGACAGGCATATCACAAGCAAGCGCTCTTCTAATTAACCTTGGTAGCTGACCAAATACTGGCAAATTTAGTAGACAATAAATCTGTCAACCATATCATCCCAATTGTTTCCCATATAATGTTGGGTCTAACTGGTCAGTCCATACTGTGGGTGTAAATTGGGTTGACATGTTCCAAATCATGTTGGGGACTGCGTTTTACATCATTTTTATCATTATCAAATCATTCATGAGTTTCATGAACAAAGTTACTTTTTACAGATTTGCAGCTCTGTAGCTCTATTGAAATTATACTGATTATTGGCAGAAAAAATGGTTGACCTTGTGTTTCTATCCTCTTGATAGAACCAGGGAAAAGGTTTCTTTAGTTACTATTTCTTAATGATTTTCATCTTCTTCTAAATGAAAATACCTGGCAAATGAAGAGGTGTACACGTGATTAATGAAGCTAGACTGTATGATTCTTGATGGTGTTCCCACTGCTGTTCTAATGTTTTGATCGAGTTAACATTGAGGTCTACGCTCACAGTATAAGTGTTTCCCTGTGTCTTTCTGTTGGTCCTCAGCTGTTTCTGGAGGAGCAGAGTTTCTCCCGGCGCGAGGCTCAGAGGACACTTGGACAGCGTGTGCGTCTCTACCTGCTCAGGTTCTTCCTCAACCTACTCGTGCTGGCTCTGCTGGGCGGAGCCTTCTACCTCATCTACTTCGCCACCAAAACATCGCAGGACGCGGTGAGACTGTGTTGCTGATTTTTCCCCACCGTGTCCTGGATGTGGTGAATGAATATAGTCATACACTTTCACTCTCCTGTGTTTCTCAGATTGGACACCACTGGTTGGTCAGTCTGGTTCTCGAGTACCTCCCTCCCATAACCATCAGCTTCGTCAACCTGCTCCTCCCTCACATCTTCCGCAAGATCTCATCTTTTGAAGACTACTCTTTCACCATGCAGGTCAATGCCACGCTTGTGAGGTAAGGTGCACATGGAGAAAAACCCAGGTCACATGACTTGAACTCGATTGAGAACCGAGTCACAAATGATATGACCTTAGAGTAAATTTGACAATATAAAAAAAAAATCTTGTTGTCTTGAATTTTAACTCCAATTACTTGTGAATTCAATCAGACAAAACCCTTTTTAAAAGTATGTTATTTAAAAAGTGGACTCTCACAATCCAATTCATTTTCTGAATGGACTTACATGTATGTTGACATTAATTATTTCCAGCATGTCAACACTTATTTTATTGTTTTTTATTAGCAATTGGCTTAAAACCTCTGTTTTGTTACTTGGAAAAAATGATACCAATAACAATTTAGTTTCAGTACAAATAGTGGGCAGTGGAAAAAGAAAACTAAATTATATGAAAAACTTGCAAGTCGACATTTCTAGGTGTATTGAGACTTTTTTCTTGACTTGGGTTTCGAGAGCAAATCAATGTCTTGGTTCCAAACACACACACACACACTTGGTTCACCCTGTCTTTTCTTCAGGAGCATCTTTTTAAAGCTGGCTTCACTTGGGATCTACTTATTTTTCATCTTCAAAACAACCAAAAAGCCAGTAAGGAACATTTATGTTGTAACATCATACAGACTTATATTTTATCTTAGGTATATGTTCTTAAGTGTGTTCCTTGTAAACCCCCGTTTCTTCTGTGTTTGTTTACAGCATGCGGTTCAATGCTTGGAGAACTTGTTTGGTCGAGAGATGTACAAGCTGTGTATCTTCAACTTCCTCACTGCTTTTTGCAAAGCTTTCTTCTTGAACTACCCCAGGAAGTGAGTTTGTTTGAGATCAACCGTCTCTTTCTTTCTTATTCAGTGTCGTGGTTAACCTATATTTTGTTTTAAATGACTGCTTTATTTTATTGCTATCTTACTATATTTACATTACATTAATGTGCATTACGATGTTCTTAATATAGTTCGCTATCTGTGTACTTTTTAAAAAAGTTTTATATTTTATGTATGCACCATGACATCAAGTCAAATTCCTCGTACGTGTGAACCTACATGGCAATAAACCCATTTCTGATTCTGATTCTATAGGGAAAGGTTGAAGTTTTACTTTCTATTTAAGATTCATGTCCGTTCTTTTCCAATTATCTTAATACCTGACAGGCTGCTGCATGAGAAGTATCCCTCATCCTTTCTGGCCCGATTGTGGGGAAAACAGCTCTTCCTGGTCCCTTTCAATGTGTTGGATCTGGTGTACAGTCAGACTGCATCCTGGGTTGGAGTCTTCTACTGCCCTCTTCTGCCGCTGATAGAAGCCGTCACACTGATGGCCACTTTCTACATCCAAAAGGTTGTCTGGGACGTGAGAGTTATAGACCCTCTTACACAAAACGGTGTCTCTTTCGGTCTCTCAATTTTTAAATCCAGATCATAATCAAGTACGGGCATTAATGTCACAAAATCAACAGAAGAACAACGCCCTAAAAAGATAGAACTTATCTCAATATGAACTAAATAGTAATACTACTTCAATAAATACATACATATAAGTTAATAGATACTTTGGATCAACCAAAATACTGACATTCAGGTGGATGTCATTATTTGTTTGGCAACATGATGATTTTTGCAAAAATTGGTTAACAAATTCCTTAAATATAGGAATGATTTTGGATGAAATAAGCTTTTTTACTCAGCTCATTTGCTCAGAAAGATTAGCTTAGCTTAACAAAAAGACTGGAAACAGGGGGTAAAAGATAGCCAGGCTAGGTCCTCTTTAGCTCTCATAATAACCTGTTTTATCTAATTTCAACTGTAAGAAAAATCGAAAGTAAAAATGTTTTGGTTTTATGTGTAATAACCTCATAATAACCTGTTTTATCTAATTTCAACTGTAAGAAGTAAAAATGTTTTGGTTTTATGTGTAATAACCTCATAATAACCTGTTTTATCTCATTTCAACTGTAAGAAAAATCGAAAGTAAAAATGTTTTGGTTTTATGTGTGGGGGGGTTGACCTCCTAGTCCTGTCGTCATTAGACAAAAGTCTGAAAATACATAAAATTACTGAATCCAGACAAGAAATAGTCTGTAACATAAGACTGTTTGCAGGTATTTGTTTGATGTAGATGGACTTGTGCACAAGATGCACTAATGACCCTCAACTGTATTTGAACAGTCCATGTCCATGTCTTTTTCTCTCTCTGTGTTCAGTTCTCGGTCCTGCGGTGCTGCGTGGCAGAGCAGAGGATGTTTCGAGGCTCCATCTCCTCCGTTTTATTCCACTTTATGTTACTGCTCGGTCTCCTCATGGCTGCAGCCACACTGGGCCTCGACCTCTACCAGCCAGAAGGCACACACATGTACTTTTAAACTATAATTTTGATTTGCAGCCAACATACTATTGTAGCAGTGTTGATTCTCAATACACCCTATTTGTTTCTTTAGCCGTTTTAAATCTTCTTTTTTGCTGTTTTTTTCCTCCTTATTTTTCCACTCCAGGTCCTCATGTGGTCCATTCGGAAATGGACAAAGTGTGTTTAATGTGACAGGAGTGTGTGTGGACAGCCTCCCAGGCCCGGCGCAGTCCACTCTCCGCTACCTGGCCTCGTCGGCCTTCGCCCTGCCGCTCATACTTGCTGAGATGTAAGTCTGCAACAGGTTTATTCAAAAACACTGGTTACGTTTTTGACCAGTTTTTCCGGTTTGAAAGAAAACAAATGTAATATACTATCAGACTGTTTTAGCCTTGGGTGAGAGAACTGGAAGCACAGTGTGTACAGCTGCTTATATCATGTGAAAATAATAATCATCAATGGATATTTTATTCTGTTTCCTCAGTCTAATCTTAACCTCATATGTGTCACGGGGACGAGCCAATCAGAAGGCCATCGAGAGACTGAAAGAAATGCTGGTTATGGTTAGTCACATGTTATCAAACGACTAACATATTTCATTTGTTATAGACAAGATGAGAAAACATATGATTTGGTTGTTGCAAGGGAATCAGTCATTGGTTTATGTCAGGGTTGTCAAACTCAATTTCATCGCGGGCCACATTAGAATTATGGTTGCACTCAAAGGGCCGGTGGTAACTTTAAGACTATATAAATATACAGAGATTAATATATATAAAATGATGTATTATTTAACAATATT